AATTAGTTACTTTTTTATGGAGTAACACAATATTGTAATGCATTACTTTTAAAAGTAACTTTCCCCAACTCTGCTTATCTACTGCAATCTACTGGTTGATGGACACAACAGTTGAGGAGTACATTGCATGTGAAGGAGAAGCTCTGCAAGAGTTGATAGAAAGAAAGTGTGGAAACAGATATCATATGCTAAATAATGACTGGACAAATAGATTTCAAGTGAAAAATCTGCTCAAGATGATCGAACAAATGGTGGCTAGAAACAGAGGTGAATATTTTACTCTAGAAAACAAAGCAAGCAAGCCAACAACAGTGCATCAGATGTTTAATGAGACCCTGGAAGAGGAGTGGAAAAAACATGAAGATGAGCTCATAGAGAGGATGTTGGAGGCAGCAACAGTAGATCTGAATGAAGAAACCGAGCAATTATATCACAAACGAAGAGGAAGCATTAAGTGCTCAATCCCAAATAGTATGTTTCTGTTTTTCCTTACAATGACTCAACATCATCAAAGTGTTCATATATTAAATACATTACACTTACATTTAAATACTGTAAATAAGATACATATATGTCAATCGTCAATCAATATCTATACTATATGATTCACATATTTAGGATTAAGTATTATTTAATGGGTTAAACAGTTTTATTCCATGGTCCCCTATCTCCTGTTTCTTAAACCAATGACAAGCATGAATGCATTCCATTGTACATAATTTACAGCAAGCAAGCATGCATAATGTATCTATAAAACACCTAACAACATTCCATGTACTTTCAGTGAGTGGAGACTCACTGTTAGATGGATCCAGTTCAATTGGAGCTGATACCCTGGACCCCACTGACAAAGTGTGCTGATGGCTCAGATCTAGACATGCAGCGTCGTCTGGACACGGCACCATGAGCACTACATCAAGTTTTCAAGATCCGAACAGGGAAAGTCTGAAAGATGATATTCCAGTTCACAAACACAGTCCCAGTGACATGGACAATATGAAATATTTCACTAACATAACAGAACAAAAGCATAAAAGATCATTTTCATTTTAGATATGACCTGTATATTGCATAGTTAACTATGGACCATTTTATGTCCCAGGGGTTCTTGAAAGTTGATTATTAGAAATTGTAATGTTTTTGTTTTTTTTGAAAGTCACAAATAGTTTTTTTTTATTCAACTGTCTTTTTTCTTTAATAAAGGTAGTTATTTTGTTATCAAGGCATGCCTGAGATGAAAGTTGATATATATTGTCATATATTAGCAAAATAAAAATCAGTAAAGGTTATTGCGTAATGTTGATGCTAACGTAAGATGCACCAACCTCTTTATGCCTTTTTAAATCATTAAATAACTATTTATTGTGATAAATGTTATAAGCAATGTTTTAAAAAGGAACTTTGTGTAAATAACTTACATTAATGTGTATTGTACAAATCAGGGCCGCCGGAGCAACGGGGGCGAGCTGGTATTTGACCACCACTTTTCAAACTACTGCAGCAATGCCCCAGCACTTCAGGCCATAGTTCCACTTGAAGTGGCACTACGCAAACCTTTTGGTGTATGACATGAAAGTACAGCGAGAGCGATTAGAGAGCAGACGGCACCCTATGCTTTTGAATCACTCTCTCGCGATGCTTTGATGTCATACACCGATTGGTCTGTGCAGCGCCGCTTCAAGTCATCTGACTCGGTTGAACAACCAATCAAAATCCGTGTACCATTCGTTCACTGGTTTTTTTATTTAATATTGAAAGTAGAAAAATTAGAAAACTGCTTTCTTTTTTTTCTTTCTTTTTTTTTTTTTCCCAAAAACTATGAACAAGAATTCCACTTAATTTTTCGTTTTTCGTTCAGGGGTAGAAAAATGAATAAACAGTTTGAATTTTCGATTTCTACACGTGGGTGGGAATGAAACGCCCCTTTTCTGTCAGCTGAAGATCAAAGCGTGCCGTCATCAGTTCTTCCTCAGTTCTGCGCAGCAGAATAATAGTCCTCCGCTGCTGCAGGTGTATGGATCCTTAATGCGTTTATTGCAACTACATTTCATCTTTTTCTCATCAAATGGACCGCTGTCGGAAAAGCGGCGGCTGTCGCTGGAGGTTCGCTGGAATAACGATGACCAAAATGCTGGTGAGCCGCGGGCGGCGTCCGCCGGTGGGCCGCCAACTTTGCCACCAATGGTCCGCCACTGGCCCGCTGGTCTTATGTTACCTGGGTAGATTTTCCAGTGCATTGTGGGATTTTTTAGGGAGTAAACGTTCCAGTGCACTGGAAGGATTTTGCGAGTGAGACAGCCCTTAAATTAGCTGACTCCCTGATCAGTGCCCTGACTACTGAACTAGGGAGCTGATTGAGATGCACCCAATGTTGGTGTCAGTGTTCCGGACAATGTCAGTGGCACTGGAACATTTCACAGGATTTAAGTGACAAATGCCACTATCCACATGCACATGACAATAGAGACTGGATGTGACACTAAGCATAGCGACATGTGCCATTGTCTTCTGTGTTCAGATGCCATGTCACTTAATGTTAATACTGCTACTGGTTGGTTTTAACATTTTTTAATTATTTGTATAAAGAGTGTAAATATTGTATGAAGAATTTTGATGAATTTGATTTTATGTGTTCATTAGCACTATAATGTATGCATAGAATTTGTTTTTATTCATGATGGGTTTTAAGGTTTTTGAAATAAGTGAAATAAGTGGAATTTAACTGAGTTAAACCTGGTATTACACAAAGCAAACACTGATACACTGAGGATTCTTTACTGCTTAATAAAACGGTCAATATCACGGTAGGGTGCCTTTTGGTGTCCTGTACATAAATAACTAATTTGCCATGATAACTTAACATAAAAATGACTATGAAAGGGTGTGTTATATTAGGCTAAGTTTTTATATTCATAACAAAAGCATTACTTGGCTCTTTAGATACATTTTCTAGATTTTTTTTAGTTTTGTATAAGAGGATGCTTGTTATTTTGCCATGTCCCATGCACTGCTCATTAAATTTGAATGAGAGTAGAATATAGTCAAATCATAAAATTAAAATTTTTTGTTCTCTATTAATATTTTGTTACATTTTTGTTAAACTCAATTTGAGTGTATTGATCATTTGGTAATAAAAACAATATTTTTATTTAATAAAAAAGAAGAGTTTGTCCATGTCCCTTGAATGGTTGTCTACCCTGTCGTGTTGGGGAATCCGCCCCTTTAAGAAAAGGCCATCCAATAACCAGACTAACTATTTAGCTAGTCACACTTTGTTGTAAGCTAATATGCTAATTGAAGCTCAAAATGTCCACCCTGTTGTTGTTCCAAAATGTCCACCCTGTCGGCCACTTAGACATGACAGGGTGGACACAGCATTTATTTGTAGATAATATTGCAATTTATAGAAATGTAATATTGTAATTTAAAGAAAGATCTGCTGTAGATAATATTTTGTAATTTATTAAAACATAAAATCATTGCTCTTTCTCAGGACATGCCTCTGAGTGCAGCAGAAATTGCACGGCAATACAGAAAACGTCGGGATGCAATCCCAAACGAAGAGAAGCATACCTTAAGACAGAAAGGGAGAAATGGAGGAAATTATTTATGACATGACATAAAGCGAATGGGAATTTAAAACCAAAATCTTTGAGTATTGTGAGGGTTGAAAGGCACTCTATGGTGATATTGACCCAAAATTAAAGAATATTTGCTTGATTTATGTTATCCTTGTATTTTGTCACGATTCGCTGTGGGAGGAACGAGAGAAATGTGGAGTACAAGCAAAAGTCTTTAATCCAGGAATCACAGGGGATAATCCACAACAGGATCACAGGAAACACAAGACATCCAACAAGTAGACCCGACAGAAGAGAAATGCACAGACAAGAACTTGTAAACACAGGACAATTACCAAACACAGGTGCACAGAATGACTTATTAACTAAACGAGGACAGGAACATGACCAAATAAGGGAACACAGGAACAGAAACGGGGGCAAAACATAACAAAACAGGTCCGTCATCCTGACATATCACCCCCCTCGTTTAACATCTTTAACATGGCTTGAGCCAACACACATAGAGAACGAGTAGACCTGAGAAACACAAGCTGAACAGACTAGGACTTTTATACAGGGGATGATTGGGGAACACAGGTGACATCAGTGGAACATAATCAAACTAAACGAGGACAGGAACATGACCAAATAAGGCAAAACAGGAACTGAAACACATGACAAAACGGGTCCAATTCTGACATTTCGCCTCCTCCCGGAAGGTGCGTCCTCGCACCATAGGCTACAACAGAGGGAGGCATAGGTGGGAGCTAGGGAGGAGGATCAGGAGGACAGACGGACACCCGGGAGGGGGCCGGCAGACAGAGACCAGGGAGGCGACGAAGGAGGGAGGAAACAGGAGAGATCCGGAGCAGTAGGAGCCAAGCAGGACCCAGGCCACAGCCATGATGGCAACCCATGGTGGAGCCGAAGGAGGGAGGAGCCATGGAGGAGGAATGGCCACCGACTCCAGGGGGCCGACCAACGGCGGCGGAGCAGGTGGCGGAGGAGCCAGAGGCGGAGACGGAAAGCCAATGAGCCAGGGGGATGCCGGAGCGACTGAGGACCAAGGTGGAGCTGGCGGGAGGAAGGAGCCCAACGGAGCCGGTGGGACGGAGCGACGAGGTGCAGCCGGAGGAGCGGAGTCCTGAGGCGATGGCGGGTCGACGCCCGACCAAGGCAGAGCCGGAGGGAGCCCAGTGGAGCTGGTGGATCGATGGGTAATAGTGGAGGTGAGGGAGCTAGGAGCCGAGATGGAGACGCTGGGTCTATGGGCCGAGGCGGAGTCCGGGCCTCGGAGGCTGGAGGCGGAGGTGAGGGATGCTCCAGCCATGGCGACGCTGGAGGATGGCAGACCAAATTCCAAAATCTAGAGCTTGCACTGTATTGATGGTGTGCTGGGATGAAGGATGGCAGACCCGCGGCGCTCGCACCGTATTGATGGGGCTGCCAGACGACAGCGGTGGAGGAGGCAGGAGCGGGCGGTTGGGTGGGTATTCGTGAGCCTCCGGGCTCTCAGGGCTGCCCTCGGGGATCAGAGCCCACTACTGGCTTGACTGGGAAACGGGAGCCCCCTCAGGGCTGGACGGGACCAGCGGGGACGAAGGAGAGAGGAGAGGGGGCAAGTCAACCTCCAGATCCGTTTCCCAGTCTATCAAGTCCCCTTCTAAGTCCAGCAGTCCCAGATGTATAATTAGCTCCCCCTCAGCCGCGGTGCAGTGGGCAGAGCTCCACTCCGCACTCTCACCATCCACGGCTTGCTCCCTCGCGGTGGGCACTGTCGCCGGCTCTCGCACCTGGTCTGACGGGTGGGGCTCCACATCCGGGGCGATCCTCTGCTCAGTCGCTCGGCATTGCGCTGGCTCATTGATCGCGGCGGTAATGGGCTCTCTGTCATCGGTGGGCTCGGGCTGATGCTCCACCCCGCGGGAAGATGGTGGGCTGGGCACTGGGTCTGGAGCGGATCTGGCGAGATCATCCACAGGGCAGGTGCTGGATGGTGATCCGTTTCTCGCCAGAATCCACTCCATGAAGGCGGTGAAATCCTCTCGAGGACTATCTTCGGACGATGGCGCTCTGCTAGCGGTGTTCAAGCTCACGTCAAATAATGAGCAGAGCGCGTCATCCGGGTAGCTGGTGGTGCTAGCTAACAGCCGGAACAGTCGCGTATGGTCCTCGAGAGATCTGTCCCCCTGCTCCAGCAAGAGGAGGAGGAATTCCGGGCGGGTGAATGGATTCATAAGGGAAACACTACGGAAACAAAAACACTGAGAAAAAAACGGGGGGAAAAAACAGAGGGTAGACACATGGAGGTAACTGTGTTCTGTTCAACTGTTCGCTGTGGGAGGAACGAGAGAGAAACGTGGAATACAAGCAAAAGTCTTTAATCCAGGAATCACAGGGGATAATCCACAACAGGAACACGGTAAACACACAACATCCAACAAGTAGACCCGACAGAAGAGAAATGCACAGACAAGAACTTATAAACACAGGACAATTACCAAACACAGGTGCACAGAATGACTAATTTACTAAACGAGAACAGGAACATGACCAAATAAGGGAACACAGGAACAGAAACAGGGGCAAAAAATAACAAAACAGGTCCATGATCCTGACATATTTGTTGTGGCACATAATGTTTCATTTAAAATTAATAGTGATAGCTCAAATTTTATACAATTTTATAGTATCAAATTTTGCCCCACCACTTTTGGAGTAGTGGTGCCACCCCTGGTACAAATATACTGTAAATATACAGTATGTAGTATTGTATAAAACAAGACAAAAATAGATTATTTACCAAGGGTGGAGGAGGGATGTCAAAAAAACAATCTTAGGTAGGTGGTTTCTGAGAAATGCACAGACAAGAACTTATAAACACAGGACAATTACCAAACACAGGTGCACAGAATGACTAATTTACTAAACGAGGACAGGAACACGACCAAATAAGGGAACACAGGAACAGAAACAGGGGCAAAACATAACAAAACAGGTCCATGATCCTGACATATTTGTTGTGGCACATAATGTTTCGTTTAAAATTAATAGTGATAGCTCAAATTTTATACAATTTTATAGTATCAAATTTTGCCCCACCACTTTTGGAGTAGTAGTGCCACCCCTGGTACAAATATACTGTAAATATACAGTATATAGTATTGTATAAAACAAGACAAAAATAGATTATTTACCAAGGGTGGAGGAGGGATGTCAAAAAAACAATCTTAGGTAGGTGGTTTCTTGTATACAGTACTCTTTAAAAAAAACAGGCTCCTCTTGAGCTGAAGGTTTCAACCAGTGTTGCCAGGGTCATGGTTTTCCAGCACAATTTGTCTATTTTCAAAATTCAGTCACATGAAAAAATACAGAGTTACGGGTTACAGTTTTTTGGGCTACTTTCATAATGTGCCGCGGCCGCCAAAATGTTTCTTTGTCACCAAATAAAAAATGAAAACTGCATAGTTTCTTAATGGGCATTGATCCCCGAATGAATACCTGGCAACCCAAAGACCACTGCACGTAAGTGAGTAAAAGTGTGAGTGGAATGGCGTGCCTTTTTGAAGGCACGTCACACATTAAATGAGCATTATGCCTATTATATTCAAATAAATGTATGCATTTAGCAGACGCTTTTATCCAAAGCAACTTACAGTGCATTCAGACTGTACATTTTTTATCAGTATGTGTGTTCCCCGGGAATTGAAATATAAATAATATTTCTGTAAATATTGCAAATGTGAAATTAGAGCTCACCATAGCGATCTGGTAGCCCACGCTGCAACCAAAAAGCATTAAAAAAAAAAACGCAGCTCATTTCTCAAATGCCAGAACATTATTTGACACAGGCAGATCCTTTCAAAGAACTAATGTTGCAGTAAAGGAGGCAGAGTTGATGCTGGCTGCTCATGTTGCTTGCCACTCAAGCACCTTAACTGTCGATCATTTAGGAAGTGTTGTAGAAGGAATTTCCAAGAAAGGTATCAGTTTACACTGAACAAAATGCACAGCACTAATTAATTCAGTGATAAGACCAGTAGTGCATGAAGACCTTCTGGAGGATGTAGGAATTAGACCATATTCTCTTATTGTTGATGAGACCACTGATGTCACGACTAGAAAACAGCTCTGCATACTCATCAAATATTAAAGCAAGAAGCTCTCACAAATCATTACCACCTTTGCAGGAATTATACATATAGTAGTTGGTGATTCACTGACCAAAGCAAATGCCTTGTTCAAATTCCTGGATGACAACAAATTGTCCATACTGAATTGCATTGGCCTTGCAACAGATGGCTGTAACACAATGTGTGGGCAGCATAACTCAGTGCTACAGAAATTCCATTACCGCAATCCTCATATTGTCTACATAAAGTGTGTGTGCCATTCTCTTCAGCTCTTTGCATCAAAATCTGTCAGTGTCCTGCCCAGAAATGTAGAGCACATGGTCTCTACCTACCTACAGACCTACAGCTGGTTTTCAAATGCCACCCAGTGTCTCCAAAGATATTCAGAATTGTACAAAACAATAAATGTAGCTAAAAACCCTCTGAAGATTCTGCATCTTTCAGACACTAGGTGGCTCTCTATTAGTGATTGTGTCAACTATATTCTTTCACAGTATGAGGAGCTTAAGCTGCATTTCCAGTTGACAAAAGACAGTGAGAGGAGCTATGCTGCGGAATTGTTGTACCAAATGTACAGCGACAATTTCCACCTGATCTACCTGAAATTCCTCCTCCATTGTGTAAGAGTTAAACAGACTTACTAAAATCTTTCAGCTCGCCCTCGATTTTTCTAAGATTTTAACTTCAGCAGATCAGCACAGTGCTCAAACAACACATTTTTGGCACAAACACTAAACTAAAAACTTTTCGGGACTGGTATAATACTACGAAAAAGAAGACTTTTTGCCTCCCACTGCCAGCAGCTTACATTCCGGAGACGAATTGACTACATTCAAACAGACGAGAAAGAAAATGCCTCTTGTTGAATCTACTTGCTGCATGAACTGCCACAAACTTCTACAAAGGATTGTGGTTCTTGAAACAAAGTTACTTGCTGGACTTCCAAAACAGGCAGAACACTCAGCAGACCGTCATCATGGACCCCCTCAGCATACAGCCGGTGAGTCCCATGAATCTAGTCAATCTCAACAGTTTATACCAAGCGTAGAGGAACAAGCCGAAACTGATCGACAGACAAATCGATGGCACAAACAGGGAGCGATGCCCAAAGGCACTCGAGACATCAGATTGTCATGAGTATCTCGTATTGCTGCGATAGCATCCTCTACCCCAGATACGGCTATGACAAGGCTTGCAAACACTAGTATTCTACCACCCCCTATACAGCTTGAGAACAGATTTAAAGCATTAATGAATGCGGGTGAGGAATCCCCAAATGTGATTAAACATGGATCGGATCAGCCAGCAGCTAACATCGCTACTAACAGACGCTCAAGGTCGAGCACATAAATGGCTTATGACTCAGTCTTGATTATTAATTGACTAATTTGATTATTAATACATATTATATGGAAGAAATGTTTGAGCTCATATTGAGGCATTTGACTTGGTGCACACTTTGTAAAGTTATTGAGATCACTTCTGAAATTTAGAGGAGACAAATGTGAGAGCTCCTGGGTCTTTAGTGTAGGAGAAAAATCTGAGCACAGTGTGTGATGTTGTTGACATCTCTTTTAAAGCTTTAAAGGAGACAAATGTGAGAGTGTTAGAGTTTTTGTCTCATGAGACAAGTTTGAGAAGCAGGAGACTCAAGCAAAAGTTTTCATTCAATCTTAAAGTAACCTCATTTCCGTCTAGGAGAAATATTTGAAATGGTAAAAAGATCTCTTTTTTATTTTATTTTTCTTCCCTCTGGTTAGCTTCAATGTCATTTATCCACACCATTTCATTCTAAGACAATACATTGTCTGTCATATTTGAAGTTGTTTTATGTAGACAGTGTTTTATTGCACAATGACTTAGAGGAAACCATAACCTATATTTACATACATGCAAAAATGGGCTGTACAAGACAAAATTTTAATGCTAAACAAAGCACACAAAAAAAAACACTGGTATAGCGTTACATTTGTTAAAAAAAGGTGTTTCAGTACTTGTCTTTTGAATATCTAGGGATTGTGTTGAAAGGTGCTCCACGCATTCTGTTTATCATTATTTACAGGCCTCCAAAATACTCTCCAGCCTTTGGGGAAATCATTGATAGCATTTCTGTGAACTCTTCAACAGAGTATGACTGTTTTGCTATTGCAGGGGATTTTAATATTCACATAGATAATGCAGAAAACAAAACTACAAATGAAATTATAACTGTTTTAAACACTTTTGACCTGATTCAGCATGTGCATGGACCCACACACAATCGTGGACATACTCTAGATTTA